ACAATATAAAGTCTTCTTTCTAGTCTGGAACTTCCTTGATATCTTATCGAGGATTTACGATGAGCGAGTTAATTGCGAGTTGATGCAAGTACGATTCACTTAACGGGAAGCTAGCTAGCTTTGTCCTTTGCCACACACGCTGAGTTTTTCCACCGCTGAAGTTTGGTAATGTTTTTGTAAAAATACTAATGTCCGATGAGAATCCACTGAAGTGAAATAATTTGTAATGTTCGAACTTTGTAAAGGTTCCTGCTGAAATATCTGAAGTTTCCGATTTATAAGCGTTATAAAAATCACAGTTATAGCTTTCGAAGTTTATATCACACTGATTATAGCGAACTACTAATAGACACTCTCTTTTGGCGCGTCGCGTTGGTTATATTTATACCTGTGTGGAGGCGTTCTTGAAATTTCAGTCTTACGTAACAATACAATTTAAGTGTTTACCCATATACATATATTGTTGATTCTTACTCTCGAGAATCTTCTACAACTTTGGAGAATAGGCGGGAGTTTCGCAATACATATCTAACACTACAAGCTATGCATGTTTTTAAATATAAACTTAATCTAAAGTACGTCGATATTAAAATAAATATTTAAGAACAAATTTAGTTACACTATAAAAAGCTTAAGTACAGGGAGAAACGGGAATTACCAGCCAATAATAGATGAATGTTAGACGACTGTAACATGTAGATTACTCAATGCTTTGTACACTATACAATTGGTGTCTTTAGCTAAGGAACCACCCCCTATATTATGTATGAAGTGAAGGGGTAAAAAAAAAATCAATACACATAAATATATTTTATTACACACGTTCATAGAATACACCAACTTTCCGTCAAGGAAAAAAAAAAACGTCACAAAACAAATAATAAAAAAACTAAATTTTAATATTGAATGTTGTGTATGGATGATCTATGTATAGCTGTATGATCCTTATATTCTTGTTTGCATTATTTTTGGCACTGCCATCCCTACATCATTTTACATTTGCAAAAATGTTTCATTTTACTTTAAAATAGTTATATCAGTTTAGGAACTTTCGTAAGATTATATTATTTAACATCATAATTGTTTTGTTGTTTTAATCGGTTAATATGTTCTAGTACCTATGTTCGGAGGTTATGACAAACATTGTTAGATATCATTATTAACATTAAAATATTCTGTTATTCTGTCTACGGGCTTTAATTTGGTTGGTTTGTCACTTCAGGTGTCTCTCCGACAATGGAAGAAAAACAGGTTTCTTCATAAATGTGGAGCCGCTTTACTGAACGAATTTTGGGCAATTACTGCTGCTCACTGTGTAGAAAAGTAAGCTTCTAATAAGTTTGTCAAACAACTTATAGGGTTAAGAAAATGGCTATATTGCTTGCTACATTTTTTATTCTTTTGATCAGTATTTGACGTTCCCAAATTTTCAGATGTAGGATTTCATTTTTTTTTTAGTTGAAGGGCAAAATATTACATTTATTGCTTCTTACAAAGATTAAGCCGACAGTTCCTTAACGACGACGTTTCCTTTACTGCATTTTTTGTATGAGATAAATATACCTGTTATGAACACTAGGTAGTATAATAGAGCATTCTTGGTAAAAAAAATCCCATTTATTCCTAGCGTTCCGCCACCTCAACTTCTCCTCCGAATTGGCGAGTATAATATCAACAGTGACGATGAACCTCACAGTCACGTGGAACGACGAGTGCAGCTAGTTGCTCCCTACCCCAAATTTGACAGGGCCACATTTGAATACGACCTAGCTTTGTTGCGGTTTTATGAACCTGTAAAATTCCAAAGGAATATCCTGCCTATATGTATTCCTTCTGGAAACGAAGATTATGTCGGTCGCAATGCCACCATTACTGGCTGGGGTAGACTGTACGAAGGTGAGAATAGTCTTCTATCTATTTTACTTCATTTTCACAGGCTCTTTCAATGAATTAAAGACTAACTCTAACAGAATGGTTTGTACCAATAATCGAAAATAAGGCACTCACTGTATTGTATTTTCAGTTTTATTTTAACGTATGACAAATTCTTCTCGACGTCATTAACGTGGGACTTTTAGATAGATGTTGAAAAACTACATCATTGAGTGTACGAGATAAAAATAACATCCCTTTCTAGTGGATTTTTACGTTATTTGGTTTATTTTGTTGTTATTGAAAATGCATACAAATATAGTGATAGGTGATAATTTGTGGAAAACGTTGGAATATTAAGCCTTCAACGAAGTTGAAAGATTATTCGATGAGTATTATGCGTGTATGTCTGTGTATGCCTGTTATATACATGTTAGTTATGTCCACCAGACGGCCCTCTACCGGAAATCCTTCATGACGTGAAAGTGCCCGTGATAACAAACAAGAAATGTATGGATATGTACAGAAAAGCAGGGTACATAGAAGACATACCAGATATTTTCATTTGTGCTGGGCTATCTGAAGGTGGAATGGACTCTTGTGAGGTAAGATAGTTGCTATAATGTTCATAACATATTGATCGCCAAGAATAAAGATACTATTGTTATTTCTCTTTATTTCTTTTCAAGAACTTCTATATGAAAACAATAGCCTAAAGTAACATTTTAAAATACCATCTGCAGTTTGTGGCATTATAATTTTTAGAGATAAATGAGGAAGAAAATATATCATTGTGATATTTTAATGAAATCATAGTTGTATATTTTTGTACTTCTTTAGGGGGACTCGGGAGGACCACTGGTCATTCAAGAAGAAAATGGGCGATGGATTTTGGCGGGCATCATTTCTTGGGGAATTGGGTGTGCATTACCCAACCAACCAGGCGTTTACACTCGCATCACCAAATTTTCTGATTGGATCAATCAAATAATTATATTTTAACTTATACATTGTTTATTTTAAAACATGTTAATATACCGACTAGGGGTAATGGCGAGAATATGGCTTCGGGAATTCGGAATGATCTACCAACAGGTCGCAGATCTCAGAACTCTAATCGTTTTTCTTTGAAGACCGTTAAATCAAATTGAATTGTATATTATAGCTTTTACTTAGTTTTACATATTACAGAAGGACGACCTTTATGTCTGAACTATTTCTAATCTCAGCTTACAGTGATAACAAGCAAGAACTTGAAAAGGGGATTAACATGCGAAAGTCATTGTTCCTCCAGGCTACGTAATGGAATATTTTCAGTCACTTCAGCTTGAGCATGAAACTGTGATTTTGAAAGAATGGTGTGTGCATCGAAGGGTTAACTGTTATACAGAATATTGTATTATTGTGTTTTGAAAACAATAGCGATGATAAGTGATTGTTGGTGGTTTTAAAAATATTTCTCCTGGTAAAAACTCGTTGCTAAGATAACTACTGGAATTTGTCTAAGTATATTTAGGACATTAGTGAAACTTTGAGAAAAGCACTGCAGAGTAAACTAACATTTTTTTTAGTGTTTTGTTACTTCCAATTTTAAAACTAGACGAAATCTGACCTGATGTCGTTTACACTTGAAGGTATAAAATAAACCTTCAGCAATCTGGTTTTAGATGTAACCGTGAACTCAAAATTTTTTAAAGAAATATTTTAAAACTGTAGTTTTTTTTTCTCAATCTTTCTTACGTTCTTAGAATAATACATTCATTCATAGAAGTTTGTAATATACTAAAATCTTTTAATAACATGATCTTTTTCTTTCGCTGTCAAGCACCACGTACTACGAATTGGTCGTATATTAAAATTGATATTAATTACAAGAGCAATAAGATGTAAGATCTCAAATGTAAGAATTTTTAAGCCCAAATTTACAACCAGAGCATCAGATAAAAAGGTTTTACTACTTTTTCAACAAATGACCAGTTTTCTAAAATTTGGCCTCCTATAAAACTTTCGAATTGATTTATCCATCTTATTTGATGTTCAAATAAATCGGGATCCACTTAGTTCGAAATAAAATGTGACGAACACTGAGCACACCAACATCGGGTATATGAAAGATTTCTGTAGCTAAAACAAACTAGAACTATGGTAGAGAGTGAATCGTGTTTTTTTTTTAGTGAATGTCTTTGTCTTTCGTAATGGGCAAAAGGATCCACTTAGCTCGAAATAAAATGTGACGAACACTGAGCACACCAACATCGGGTATGTGAAAGATTTCTGTAGCTAAAACAAACTAGAACTATGGTAGAGAGTGAATCGTGTTTTTGTTTTAGTGAATGTCTTTGTCTGTCGTAATGGGCAAAAGCCCTGAACTATGTAAAGTATACTTTATCCTATGTAATAATAAACTGTTTTATATATTTATCTATAATTCTAGGCTGTGTTGTTAAATAAACTATTTTATAAATATATTCTTGTTTTTTTCTAAGTACATTGTTTCATATTACCATCTAATGGATTAGCTGTAGAAGACGTGATCCTCAACCAAAATTATGAATCTCGTACTGTACAGTTTAGACGTTAAACACGCTTCAGTTGGAAATCATTGTTTAACACAATTTTCACGGGTCCGAGTTTTTAAATAAATGGATCTTTATAAAGCTACACAATTCACGATTTGATTCGCCTGGGAAAACCCAAGATTTGTGGAAAGTGAGAATAGTATTTTGTTGATAATTATATGACGTGTTTTATTTCAAAATATATAAAAAAATACACTGATAACGATTTCATAATTATCTTACCTTCATAGATCAAGTATTTTTATATCGAACAAGCGTTTCGTCAAGGGGTGGAAACAATTTCTATTATAAACGTAATTTTTTCTGAACAAATAAAAAAATTATATAGTGTGACTAGAATCCGCGCTTCTTCTAAAATGCCAGATGCATTAGCCATTTTAGCTTACGTTGATCTTAGTTTCGTATTGGTCATTAACATGAATCGTGAACTATGCCGTTCGGTTTGTAAATTGTAGAACCTGTGTATTGCCATTTTTTGTTGAAAGTAAAGTCACTAGTTTCGGCTTTCCTTTTCTTTTGAAACATTCCAATTTCACGGGACGATTCATTAAAATGTATTATACAGGTGCAATATTGGCTATTAATTATTAGAACTATCAGAAACACCGAATACAGTTAATGATGTAAAAAATATTCATTTAAGTTTCTTTGTTGAACTAGTTTTGTCATTTATTGTAAAGCAAGAAAAAAAACAATACTGGTCGTCGGAAATGTCATCTTCGATAATTCAATTACTTCACATTTCATAATAATAATAAAAAACTAAAATGCAGAAAATACGAGGTTGATTACGTTATATTAAAACAATGGTGATTACGCAAATCAGCAAGTCACGTAACAGCCACTGCCGATATATTACTCTGGAACAGATTGTATCAAAACAACACATTTTGGTACTGTTTGTTACATAGTGTGAAGCCACTGAAAATTGACAGCTTTTGGGAGGGTTTGTAAGAACCTTTTCCGACGCAACAATATTCGTACATTTAGATCATAAAGATGTCTTACGGTCGAGGATTTAGAATTTAGAGACAATGCTAATCTTTATACTTGTACGTCTGCGGGCTTACAACGCTAGAAACAGGTTTCAATACTCTTAATGGGCAGAACATTGTGTAGTTTTATGGTTAACTTCAAACAAAGAAATCATTGTACTTAATGGTATTAGAAAACAAAGACATGTGGATTAAGTTGGACCTCAAGGACCATCCAGGAAGAGACCTGCAAAAAGTCTTACTCCAACCGTTGTTAGAATAGTGTGGTGTTTCGCAACAGATGAGACCCCACGAATGCGAAGGTCAGTGGCAAAATACGTCCACGTGTGCCATGTACACAACACGATAAAGAAGAATCTTTGTCTGGAAAATCGACAAAAGTCACGCGTATACACAAATTACTCCATTGTAATACCAGTTCAACAGTCACATATCTCAAGCAGCTGGAGAATGAAACGTGTATTTATGCTGTTCGATTAGAAAATGTACTGTTCAAGTTACCATTCAATTTCTGTGCGATTGGCGCTGGGAAATTGTCACCCTTGTACACTGTATGGATTACGGAAACATTGCAGGGAGGAGGGGTGCACTTTTAACATGACAGTTATACCCTATAAAGCTATTGTCAAGTTTTACTGTAGTTGGGTAGAGCATGACTGAACGTGGCGATATGAACTGCAATAACGTGCTGAGGCATCATATTCGTTTTAATATAACGTACTCAGTCTGTGTAATACGGAGGATACTGAATAAAGAGGTGCTGTGAAAGCACGATCTATTTTCTGCGAATTCAACAGATACAGATCTACCTACAAAATTCCAGTGTTGTTGAAGTCAGTGTAACTTGCCTATTTTGTAAAAGATGCAAAGAGCAGCAAGACCGTTTTTTTTCCTCTTCATCAACAATCATCAATAGTAGATCTCTTAGGAAAATAATTGTGAAAAATGAAATATCTACTTAATCTGGGTCATTATTTTCTTTTTTTATAACATGAAATATGTACATAATTGGGTTATTAATCTTTTTTTTTTTTTTTTTTTT